TTTTTTTAAAGATTTTATTTATTTATTTGAGAGAAAATGAGACAGAGAGAGAGCATGAGAGGGGGGAGGGACAGAGGGAGAAGCAGACTCCGCACTGAGCAGGGAGCCGGATGTGGGACTTGATCCTGGGACTCCAGGATCATGACCTGAGCCGAAGGCAGTCGCTTAACCAACTGAGCCACCCAGGCGCCCCAGGATGACTGTAATTTTAAATTAGAATCGGAGAGAGTCTTACTGAGAATGCGACATTTGAGTAGAGATCTGGGGGAGGTGGGGGGAGCAAGTCGAGTGTTCTAGCCAGAAGAAACAACCAGTGCAGGGGCCCTGAGCACGCCTGGGCAATTTCGGGGAGCAGCAAGGGGGCCACTGTGGCTAGAGCAGAGCAAGTGGAGGTGTGGGAGCAAATCGGCCCAGAGAGTCGGGGCCGCCAGGTCATGTGGGCTGTAGTAAGGGCTTTGCTTTTGCTCTGAGATGGGAACACACAAGCCTTACGGCCACATTCAATGTCACAGACACACACGATCACAGCTGTACACTTGTAGTCCTCCACTGCCGCAGAGCCACTCACTGTCACCCACAGTCACACAGAGCTGCATGTAAACAAGATCGCACTCCATCACACAGCTGTGCTCACTCCTCCTGAAAAACACAGGCAGCCCCCAGACCTGCCTCATAAAGCCTCTCAGACATAGTGACCCTGCCCGACAGTCACTCAGGCTACGGCCAGTCTCCTAGTCTCCCGGTTCCCCCAGTTACAGCCAGTGCGGGACCACACGGTCGCTCCATGGAGGCAAGCACCGTCCCACAAAGGAACCACACACACTCGTGTCTGCAACCACTCGCACGGACACATTAGCCACGGGCACCCAGTCGCCTGGAGTCACACCGCTGTAAGTCACCCAGACGCAACTACAAAACTGCTCACAATCTCACAGCCAGTCTCCTACAGCTTCGCGGTGACACACGGTTGTCCCTGGTCGCGCAGTGCAGTCACTCACAGCGTTACCGTGCCACCCCCAATCACACAGACTCATCCGCAGGCTGACATGGCTGGAGACACACAGTTACACACACTCGACCCCAGCTGCGCAGACATGGACGCCTCCCCTTCACACCCCAGCCAGCCGGGGGTGGGGGGCGCCTCACCTCCTGCCAGGTGTCCAGTAACATGATGTCATACTTGTCCAGGTCCTCTTGGCTAAAGAACACCACTTCTGTGAGGACCAGGTGGCCCATCTGGCTGGAGCACTCAAACAGCCGTGGCTGGAAGCTGGAGACGTCCTCAGGAAGCCTGGCCAGGGCGGGCAGCCAGGCAGTGAGGGGCGCAGAGACAGCTGGGCCTCTCAGCAGCCTGGGCCAAGCTAGCCCTCAGCACAGGGCCTCTACCTGCCCCCACCCCCGGATGGGCAACAGCTTCTCCTGGAGCGGGAGGCCTGTGCCCTCCTCTGGGCTCCCCCCAGCCCATAATTCCCTCCGGGGATGCCCAGCTGCTCTCTGGGCCCCAGCGTCCCCGTCTGTCAGTGGGAAAGCCCATTAAGTGACCTGTCTAGCCACAGCCAGCTGTGACACACGCTGCCCCAGGAACTTCCCCAGGAGTGGGCCCTGGGAAGGGGATGGCTGGCTCAGTGGGGCTGGGTTGGGGGGAGGGGTGTTAAGCTGGGGCCCTGCGCTCCCCAGGAAGGAGGGGGTCCTGGTCCTGGCTGGCTGCTCAGGGGACTTGCGGGGAGTCCAGTGCATCAACCGGGCCCCACAGACACTCACAGCGGCCTGACTCAGCAACCTCCTCCCTTGAAGGTCTCACCCTGCCTTACCTTCTGATACACACCCTTGTCCTTTTACACAGTCCACACATACGTTTATTGACACGTCACATTACCCCACCCCCCCACACAAAGACACACACACACACACACACACTCGGCACCATGACCCCTGGGGACTGTGGGCTGGGAATGGGGCTTTGCCCTCTTGCCCTCTACCATTGGGAAGGTCCAGGGAACTGGGCAATGCAGGGAGCATGTTTGGCCAGAAGAGGGCGAGACTATCCTGCTCTCCATGGCATCTTCCTGATCCCTGTTAACCCAGGGCTGGGGAGGGAAGGGTGGGCTGTGCTCCTGGGAACCCTGGAATGGGGAACCAAGAGACCTCAGTTCTAGTGTGGCCTCTCCAGCTCTCTGTGTGACCCTTAAGTCGTCACCCACCCTCTCTGGATCTCAGTTTCCTCCTCTGTATAAGGAGAACACCCTCCTCCCAGCCCTGTCACCTCTTGTTGCTGGGGTAGGGAGCTCGGCCTCCCAGGGCCTCCCAGAAGTGGGGAGGCTCCTGACCCTCCAGCACCGTTTCCTTGTTCTCCCCAGAGATGGCAGTGACCACCGTCCGCGCCATCTCACGCTGGTCACCGCTGCAGCCCTGGCAGACAAAGAGGTGGGTCAGGCCCTGAAGGGGGAGGGGTCTTGGCCTCCAGCCCCACCTCCCCCACTCACAGGGGACTCTGGGAGACTGGGCTTAAGTCAGTGGAGGCCTAGGCTGATGGCAGGGTACACATGAGCCAGGGATCTCTCCTTCCCCACTCCCAGAACTGGGACCCTCTCCTGGTCCAGAGAATGGGATGGGGACCCCAGGCTCGGGGACCATTTATGGTTTATGTTAAAGATCAGAGAAAACTCTGGCAAACTGGACTAGGCCTCCTCTTTTTCCCAAGAGACTCGGAAAGGGTCATGCTCCTTGCTCGAGGCAGGAAGGAGAGGCAGCCTGGGCCTGGCCTGCCTCTGACCAGTAGACTCCCAGGTCTACCTGTCACGTTCAACTCCCCACTGTGGCCTTTCCCCTGCCCCACTCCTGGCCTGTCTGAGGCTGGACATGGAAGTTTGCCTCCCCTGTGGAGTAGAGCCATCCCTCGCCTGGCACACGACCCTAGGCATGAGTCGAGTGGCCAGGGTTAGAGGTACCTTTCCAAACCAGAGGTAGCAGGGGCCAGCTGTGACCAGCAAGAAGATGTCACTGGAGCTGAGAGCTGAGGCACGGGCCGGCACCTCCACGGTCTTGGTGTTGTAGCTGTCTGTGCCTTGCACATGGAAGAGCCTCGTGGCAGGTGCTGGCTGCCCCTTCCCATCGTGCCCCGCGTGCCCCTACAAGAGGGCTGGGCCTCAGGATGAGGCAAGGGCTCCTGGGAGCCGCCTCCCTGTCCCAGTGACGGACAAACTGCCCTGGGGCCCAGCAGACTTTCGCTTGAAGCCCCCACTATCTTCTAGACCCTCTGAATGTGGAGGGTGAGGATCCCATCAGCCTAGGATAGGGAACCAGGCCCTTTCTTAATGGACCCCTCCCCCAACTCCAAGGAGTCAGGTCATGGTTCCCCCAGGCCTTGAGGACGGAAAATAGCGACCCCAGGCAAGGCCCTACTCCCTTCCAATTTAGCTTCTTCACCTGTGCTTCTGCTGTGTGGCTGGCTCTGGGTACCAGGCGAAGAGACTCAGGCAGGGGTCACCCTTGGAGCTCCCACCCAGGTGTCTGACAGCACCGGGACACCAGGGGTAGTAAGCAGGGGCACCCCCCCGGCTGAGTGAAGCCTCGCCCTTATATAAGGGCTATACGGGCACATGGAGGAGCCGGTGAGGTTGCAGGAACAGCAGCAAGGTGGCCTTACCTGGAAGACCACCAGCTGGCCCTGGAGGATGGCGAGGAAGTGAGGGGGCTCGCTACCCATGGTCACGTGTTCCCGCACCAGGGCTCCACGGTACATGAGGTCCAGCTGCTCGGCGTGGCAGTTCAGGGTGCTGATCTCACGTGTGGTGGCCTGGTGGCCCTGCAGGTGGGGGTGGTAAGGGCCTGGGGCAGCTCTTAGCTCCCCTTCTCAGATCCTCAGCTCTGGGGCTTGAAGGTGCCTCCCCCTCCCCCTCAGGCCGGCACACCTGCCACAGATACAGGAGGTACTGGACGCGGCCCATCTTCTGGTATGTGTAGAGGACCAGGTAGCAGCTGCCCGCGTACAACTGTCCGTGATGCTTGGGGTCCACGGGCTGTCTGCGTAAGTCCTGGATGCACCACACCTGTGGAACGGAGGACCAGTGCACCCAGGTGGCTCCTCCACTTGAACCAGTCCGCCCAGCCTGTGCCCAGCCAGTGAGCTCTCCTCAGCCTCAGGGCGGGCCTCATCCAGGCAGGCAAGGGCTCTCCTGGGCTTGCGCAAGGATCTGCAGGCGACCCTGTTCCCCGTGGGCCCCTGGGCCCTACCACACTTGTACTGGTCTGCTGTCAGCCAGGACAGAGTTGGCGTGTGGTGCCTGGGACAAGCAAGCCTGAGGACTCCAGAAGCTGCCCAGACAGACCTAAGCCGTGCCACATACCACCCTCCACCCTGCCCCCCACCAACCACAGGCACGTTAGGGGCAGGCAGGTCCTGGTCCAGCTGCTCGCTGCTCAGGCCAGGTCTGCAGAAGCTGGGCAGACACACGGCCTCGGGGCTCTTGGGAAAATTCTCTTTTCTCAAGTGTCACTTAAAAAGACAAAGCCTGTTCAAAGGCTGAAAGGAAAATACTTCCTTACGCTTAATAGTATGATTTCCTGTTCCTAGTGGGTAGTGAGCATGGGCTCTGGAGCCAGGCTCCAGATCCTAATCAAATCCCAGGTAGGCCCTGTGTGGGCAGTGAGACCCTTCTGAGCTTCGGCTTTTCCCATCTGTAAAGTGGTCATAACAACACCCACCTTGACAATGGCAGGAAACAATTCCCGGACAGCTCTCTCTGGGGAAGATGTCCTCCGGAGCAGAGCTACCAGAATCCTGCCTTTTGCAGAAGAGGCTGTTTCTGACCACATGCTCTACCCAGGAGCAGCCCTTATCTGGCAGCCAGGCCTCCTAGCTCAGGGGCTCCCCCCACCTGCCGGCCTGCTGGGAGGGATCCCCTCTCTGCCTCTGTGCTTGGAGCCTGAGTGGCAAGATCTTTACCCTCCTGTTTTCCTTTCTCCCTCTGTCTCTCCCTGTGTGCCCCATCTCTCCTGCTTTTCATCCCATCCCCCCACTCTGTCTCCTCTGTCTTCCTCAGTCTCTTCTGTCTCTCTCTGTCCCCATTCCCTGTCTTCCTTTCTCCCTGCTCCCCCAAGCCCTGCCATGTCTCCTCCTATCTTGGTCCCTTCTCACTAACAGTCTCTGTCCAACCATATCAGGGCAAATATAGGAAGAAACCTTGGAGAAATGGTATTTTCTCTGACCTCCACCTACCTGAAGAACTAGAACCCCAGAAGTCCTGTTCCCAGAATCTTACAGCATCCCCATACCAGCCAAGGGCCAGATGGGACCATAGTTTTTGCCCCCATTTATAGATAAAAACTGAGGCCCAAAGGACTTAAGGGCTCTACCAGGGATCAGATAACATGTCACAATGCAGCCCCTACATCTCCCAGAACACTGGTCTGAGACCAGACAGGTGGCCGACTGTGACTGTGTGGGACTGTGACTGATTACATGTGATTGTGTACTATGTTGGTGTGTTCGTGTGGGTTGAGTGTTGTGTGTGACTGTGATCATGTGTAATGTAGAATTTGTGTAATGTAGAATTTGTGCAATTATGTTTGCAGCTGATGAACTTGGCTGGTTGGGTGCAATTAGAGTGTGCGTATTTGTATTATATATACGGTTGTGTCATATATTTAACAAAAGGGCACAATTAAGTATCTTGAAGTGTTACTGTGCTGTGTGCCAAGTGTTATGTGAACACAGCTGCACAGATTGATTAGGCGTGATGTGTATGAGCCCGCTGTAGGCAGGTGTGTGTACATGTACACATGCCCATAGGTGTCGCTGTGTGATGTGCAATTGCGTGTACTTGGGGCACTTTAGTAACCTGAAAACAAAGCCTACCCATGTGTGCCTATCTTCCCCCAGCCAAGCCAATGCCCCTTACCTCCACCTTCCCGGAGGCGTCGTCCACCATCCTGAGCTGGGCCGCTAGTTCAGGCTGACTGTGCAGCTTGCCCACATCCGGCCTTACCCGAATCAATTTACCTGAATCAGAGAGAGCATAGGGTGTCACTGGCGACCTCGCCCCAGCCAACCCCGTCCCTCCCATCACTCAAGAAGCCCCCTCCGACCGCGCCCCCCCAATCCGGGGGCGCTTTCTGGGTACCGTCGCTTGTCGGTCCCACTCCAACCCCCCCATACCCGGCCCCGCGTCGGCCGCGCCCGGCTCCCCGCAACTCCCCGGGCCTCGTCCCGCCCACTCTTCCATCCCACTGAGCTTCTGGGTACCGCCCCGCGCCGGCCACGTCCCGCCCCCGCAGGTCACGCC